GCAGTGCTCTCCTCCCTGCTATTGCATTCAGAGACTGAGAGAAGCCAGAGCCACATTGCTCTTCTTCAGTCTGCTGTGCTGGAAGGGGTGAGGGTCAGTAGAGCCCTAGTTTGGAGCTTATTTGGGAGTGAAGATGTGTGCAGTTGGTCTCAGCTGTTGGATCTTGTCATTATTTAAAGGGGCTGGGGACAGAAGGGTGGGGAGAGGAATGGACGAGGAACACAGAACATAGAAATGTCATTATATATGGAGAGAGTAAGAACTTAGACCATAAAGGAGATAGACTGAGAACATAACATCCAGAGCTAGTATGAGATCCCTGGGATGATGCTGATGTCACTCCCTTTGGTACAGGAGTTCCTGACCCCTGAGCAGGCGCGATTTGCTGTCCGGGGAGTTCCTACCTTGCTGGAGGTCTCAGGATTCTCCTATTTCTATGGTGCCTTCATGGTGGGGCCTCAGTTCTCCATGACGGACTATCAGAAACTGGCAAGGGGTGAGATGACTGACGTTCCAGGCGAGAGACCCAATAGGTAATGAGAGACACTTAGCTCCTTTCCCTCCTAAGACCCCAGAACACCTTCCACTGAATCATCCCCACGTTGCCTGCAGTACAGTGCCGTCTTATCTGGACACTGAAGCACTGTGACCAGAAGTGCTTTAGAAGAGAAAGGATCTTTTTTTCTCAAAACTYGCTCATAAATTCTCTGCATCATGTCCTAGAATTGTTCCAGGGCATGAATGTCAGCAGCCATTCGATGTCTTCAGGACAGACCTGGTGCCAACCTGGTAGTGCTAACGTTGCAAATGGAGGCATCTGCTGCAGGGGATGTGGTGATTCCCTCTCGCTGTCTCCCCTAACCCCTCATGTCTACTTCGGTTCTCTTAATCGTGAATTTAGAAGCCCCTTTCCAATGTTCTTCTTTGACCTCCATTTTTTTTTTTTCTTTCTCAGCTTTGTCCCTGCTCTCAAGCGCCTGAGTTTGGGCCTGCTGTTCCTAGTAATCTATACCTTGTCAAGCCTATACATCTCTGATGAATACCTCATCTCAGATGATTACATGGTATGTATTAATGGGGCGGTTTGGTTTGGACTATGGAAGTATTACGCTTCTCTGGAGGTCACTAGATCTGCACGAGTGGAGGAATAAAACTCATYTTTTTCAGGTTTGCCTCAATTTAAAAAGAATAGAAAACGAGCAGCTGCTAATAGGTCTCCTCACAACTATTATTGCTTTCCTGTCTGTCCTGGGGGTTCCACAAAAACAAAAAGAATTTGTTTTACATATTACTGTTGCTCTTTGAATCYGAATATACCTATTTTGTGACCTTTAAAAGACCCTCTATTATCATTACAATCATTAGATTCAAAGGATTTTACCAGAGTAACTTGCAAAGATTTTTTTTTTTTGAATCTGAAATCTTGCAGACTTTACAAGTTGTGTTATCCTTGAGTACTAGCCAGCTTTAGAAGAACAACTTGATTTCCTGATTCCCTCAGCAATAGCATTTTGGGGAGAGGGATGCAGCAGCTAACTCTGCAAATTGACTCATTTGATTTAGAAATAAACCAGAATCATGGTGGTTTCTTAAAAAACTCTAACAAGTAATTTTTATTTGCAGATTACCAGTGTTTCTATGTCAGTAGAAACAAATGGGTTTCTATATTCTAGAAATGATTGTGCTAATCCCAAAGTCTTTCCACAGTAGTTATTTCATTATAGCTAAATGTTACTAAAGGAAGGAAAATGATGTGTGAAAACATAAACTAGTACCTTAGCAATCTCTTCCCTATAGCAGTCTCATCACATAGATCAGATTAAAATGAAAGTCACCAGTAAGACCTCATCTACTGTCTCATTATTGCCAGTCAAGTCAGTTCTGCTGAAGCTACTTAGATTGTTTTCTCTGCCTGAAGTGCTAGAAGTGAATCTTCCAATCTAGACTGCTCTATTAGTTGCTCTGCATGATCTAAGAAATGTTAGCCTTGAGGAAAACCAGCCTTCAGGAATAGCTGGCAATCATTTTTTTCTGTTTCACTCTGTCTTTGCAGGAGCAGCCTTTCTGGTTCCGATTGTTTTACATTTTGATATGGGGCAAAATTATTCTCTACAAATACGTAACCTGCTGGCTTGTTACGGTGAGTCCACAAGTCCTTTCAGAAACAGACAAAAAGAGCAAGGGCAGCACGTTGGCAGCTGCGGAGAATGTTCTTAGACTTGATGCTAACTGGAAATAACTCAAATATCTGGAGATAATTGCAGATCGATTTAGCCTGCTCTAAATTAGCAAAGGCTAACTCTAAAGGAGTGGAAAGGAGGCAGATTTTAATCCCTTTCTTCCATCTGCAATGGTAAGCACTTTCTACCGAGCAGAGTGACCGTCCAGCCTTTCCCGATTCAGTCGTGCCAAAAACGAGTGCCATTTCTTCTTATTTTTTCTTCTTCTCTATTTTTTTTTTTTTTTCCACAGGAAGGTGTCTGCATCCTTGTTGGTTTGGGGTACAATGGGAAAGATAAGAGTGGAAAGCCAATGTGGGATGCTTGTGCCAACATGAAGGTCTGGCTGTATGAGACAACACCTTTGTTCACAGGGACCATCATTTCTTTTAACATCAACACCAATGCTTGGGTGGCCCGGTGAGCAGGGCAAACTTCCACTTCGGTGCTGTGCCAGTGACTTCTGTTTCGGGCAGAACTGGGATTCGAGGCAGAGGGAATGCTCAAGGAAGAATCTGACAGTTTTCAGTTTGTTAGACTCTTCCTTATATTCTGTTCCTGGCTGCTGCCCTATTGATAAAGGYTACTGAATCAGATAGGCTTTTGATACTACCTAAACTGTCAGGCTTTGACACGGGCAAAAAGTAGAAGGTAGCAAAAGCAGCGGGGGCYTTGGGGGCAGGCACAAGAACAGAACCATAAAGAGCCCTGTGGCACACTTGGTCAAACAACAGGCTGCTCTAAAAGCTGCCTCCTGCATCGGGCCTCTYGATTCAGGGCCGCGCAGTGACTCGGCTCGGGTTTGGTTCAGCTTTGGCTGCAATACACACCTGAACTGTAAATATCTTCCTTTCTTTGGGTTGTGGGACAAAACAAGCCAGGGGCTGAGTTATGTTGTTATGAGGTACATTTTGTACCTCTCCATGGTAAGAGGAGATGCCTGCCCTGCTTGTCACCACAGGGATACGCAAGAGTAGATGATCTCCTTGGGCCCTACCTCTCCAGCATGGGGATGTAGCCAAGCCTGCAGCCTAGAAGGACATTGAGTTGGTTTCTCTTCTGCTCTAGCTACATCTTCAAGCGCCTGAAGTTCCTGGGTAACAAACTGCTGTCACAGGCACTGGCTCTGTTCTTCCTGGCCATTTGGCATGGGCTGCACTCTGGTTACCTTGTGTGCTTCCAGATGGAGTTGCTTATAGTCATCGTGGAAAAACAGGTGCGCTTGGAATTCCTGCAGTGGGGTGAGGCTGCCACACGGAAAGTTTTGCATGGATTAAATACAAAATGCGTCTTCTCACTTTGAAATTGGTGCTCAACCACCTCAAGAGTTAAGATCAAGAGTTAAGTCAGTTGCTTTTGCAAGGCCAAGCCATAAATTTACTGTAGAAACTGACAGGAAGGAAACAGGAGAACTAGGCACATAACAACAGAGAAACTGAAGACCTTGGCACCTGGGAAGCTGGAAGATTTGCATGGAATACTCTGTTAAATCTTAGTATGAAAGGACAGCATTCTGTACTTAATCTCATTGGTTTGGGATTAAAACTTCGAGCGGGATGAGGTACTTACCTTACGCACAGGTTACTGAGTTGACATAACTGGATAGGTATTTTGCTTGCAGAACCTGCATATACAGCCACAGACCGTCTAACTAAAAGGAATTCTGCTTTTCTTCTTCTTCTTCAAACTAGATCATAAACCTTGTCCGGGACAGCCCTGTCCTGAGTGCTGTGGCCTCCGTCACCATCTTGCGGCCCATCTTCTACGTGTTGCAGCAGAGTATTCACTGGACCTTTTTGGGTTACTCTCTGGTGCCATTTTGCCTTTTTACCTGGGACAAATGGATGAAGGTATTCAGCAGCCTCACAAGGACAGCCCTTCTCTCATGCATAGTTGCCCCCAGCTCTGCTTGCTCATCTTGAACCATGCCTTTCTCTTTACAGGTGTACAGGTCTATTTATTTCGTTGGCCACGTGTTGTTCTTCACTTTATTATTGGTGTTGCCTTATATTCGTAGAATAATGGTGCCACGAAAAGAAAAGCTAAAGAAGGCAGAATAGCAGCCAAAAGGTAAGGGGTGTGCGGGGTGTTAGGGAATCCTAACAGGGAGAGGATCCCACCCTCGGACAGGGAAGCGGGTGCAGCATCCGCGTTACCTCCTGAAGTGAAACAGATGAAAACAGAGAGGCTTCTTTTCTTTTCCAGATTGTACCACGTGTGCATTTCTAGGAGTTGATTTAACACTCCAGAAGCAAAAGCATCACCTGCCAAGTTTGCTGTGTTGAAGTACGACTTCTTTCAACATGAGGAGGGGGAAAGAGAAAGCACAGGGTCAGAGACCCCAAAAGAGGGGTATGGAGGAGTTCTCCTTCCAGATCCTCCACTTTCTATGTTGCCTTATCTCTCTGCCACCCTCCAGCGAACACTCTTGTCTCTCTGCTGATACCAGATGATTGTAAGACACTCAACGCAGGCACTGTAGTGGAATGGAGCCACCTTCTGACTTTTCTACGTTTGTCATCCAAGATAAAAATTGCTCCTGTTTTTCATATCTGCTTCAGCTCCTTTCCTCTGGGGGTGCCTCCATGTGGGAATGATGGATGGTTTCCCAGCACAGAGCGAGGTAATCTTAAAGGACTGATTAAGCCAAGCTCCAGGTCTAGCGGGGAGAGCAGAGAACGGGCTTTGGGCTGCACCCCTGCTATAAAGACAGACTCGGACCTGCTCGCTTGAGAAACATGAGAAAGTAGATCCACACGCCTTCTTATCAAAAGTGACCTTTAATGGGAGGACAAGGACAGTGGGCAGTCCCTTTAGAGTCTCATTGCTCCAAAAGCTACAAAGAAGAAATTGAAGCCTTTTCCCTTCCAGGAGCTGAAGGTTGCACCGAGTCCATGCCTGAATAAAAAAGCCCCTCCAGAACCTGGAGTCACTGTAAAGGAGTCCAGCACGGCAAGAGCCAGAGGTCCAGGTTCATACCACTCCCCAGGCCTCCTCAAAGGCAGTAGTAATCTTGGCGCAGGTGAGGGCAGCAGACAGAGGATAGTTACTGATAGAGATCATCTTTTCTGTATAGTCAACGTTGACCTGGGGGTAAGAGAGAGCAGTTCAGCCGCACGTTTTCACCTAACCCTCTCCCCTTTCCTTGCCAGGAGAGGCCCAGTGTTTCTCCCACGTGGCAGGGCTTCCTGCTGCGAGTCGCAGCCACAGCAGAGCCAACTGCTGCCCCTCACCCTGCCCTCTCCCCAGKGACGGGCAAGGCCCGAGCTCTGCAGAGATTAACAGTTTCTTGACACAGATCACAGATCATTAAGGTTGGAAGGGACTTTTGGAGATCATCGAGTCCAACCCCCTGCACATGCAGGGTCACCCAGAGCACAGGGYGGCATCCAGGCAGGTTTGGAAGATCTCCAGAGAAGGAGACTCCACAACCTCCCTGGGCAGYCTGTTCCACTGCTCTTGTCACCCTCAAATCAACCCCAGGGAAGCGGGATGGGGAGGGGGAACAAGCAAACAGGTGATGGAACAGGACRRCACCTACACAGCAACCCCGACGCCTGTTCCGAGCGGGATCCTCCCGCGGCGAGGCCGGACACGCAGGCACTTACCGAGCCGTGGGCGAAAGCTCCCACAACGATGGCAACGGGCTCGTCTGCGGGGACCAGCTCCCGCAGGTCTGACACTTTGGGCACGGCGAACGAGGTGCCGATCTTCATGCAGCCCACAGGCAGGTGGTCACTCACGGGGTTTTTAATCACCTGCACAGAGTTAGCGGGAGGAAGAGGAAGGCGGCAGAGGTAAGAGATCTGCCACGGAGCAGATCTGCCGGGGAGGAATGCTGCCACACGATCCCTGCAGGGTCAAGGAACATTTACCTTCAACAGCTTCTGCGGCCCGTCGGCGGCTCGCACACTCAGCTTGTGCAGCAGCTGAACTAGCAGGGCAGAGGAGAACATCAGTTACGCAGCGGCGTGCCCCTTTGCTGCAGTCCCCTTATCCCCAGGCTCGTGACCAGTGCTGTGCRAGGCAAAAGGTCCAGTGCTTTCTAAAATAACCCCCCAAAACGCTGAGCACTAAGTTATTTCAGTAAAGCACAGTCTCGTTCCCTTCCTCCCCATTCTACTAAAGAAGGAAGAGTTGGAGGACACATCTTGGAGAGGAAAACAAGGGACGTTTTTATCTTTCCAGTGTTTCCTCATTTTAAGAGTGGTGCGTTTCTTTGACTCCTGTCAGAAAGCCGGCCCTTCCCGCTGCCCTCGGGGGTTGTTTCGGGGCAGGGGGGCGCCTGGCCTCGCTTACCCATGAGGCCACAGAACCGATCGAAAGTCCGCGGGATCCTCGTCTGGGGGTTCACCTCGATGAGAACGTTCTTCTGGGTGTGGATGTAGACCTGGAGGAGCCCGGCCCGGTTCAGCGGGCTGTCCATGAGCATCAGCAGGCTCTGAAACGCAGAAACGTGCGGCAGCGGGCACGGGAACGGCCCTGGAGAGGCGCRCGCCGCCCCGGCCAGGGCCGGGAGCGGGGACGGCGCCGGCACCGAGGCCCCATCCTCTGCCSCAGGTTGGGCTGCGCCTGCCAAGGGCGGCCGTCCCACGGGCACGCGCGGAGGAACACGCGGGAAGCGGCGCCGAGAGATGCACGACACGGGGCGGCCCCGGGGCGGTACCTGGTGCGCGATGTCGGGCCGCACCTGGGCCGGGTCGCGGCCGCTCCGCAGCAGCAGCGCCTTGTGCCGGTCGCAGCTCAGCAGCTCGAACGTCTTCCCCACCTAGGGGCAGAGCGCGCCGTGGGCCCGGCCCCGGTCCCGGTCCCGGTCCCGGTCCCGGTCCCGGCCCCGGCCCCGTCCCCGTCCCGCACCTTCACCGTCTCCAGACTCGCCCCCTCCAGCACCACCAGGAGCCGCCGCTGCGCGCGCGGCCGCTTCGCCTCCGGCCCGGCCTGCTCGGCCGCTCCCGCG